CACTACCCATAATCATTATTCCTGTCTATTGTAAAATATCTTATTTTTAAATACAAAAACCAAAAAAACCCAACTTTCCCAATTACTGTAACTTTTGAACTAAAATATATTGTTTCACAAAATCACTTAATTCTGATCATTCACAGCTGAAAATCAGCAAACTTCTGAGATTACCTCTATCACCACAATAGCTGGTTCAGTTATTTTCCATTGCAGAATATCTGTTTACCTGTGAGTAGTGGGGAAATAGTACTGAACCAACACAGTTGAAATCGACTCATTAAGTAAATCACTTTGGAATGAGAAAGGATCTAGACAGCAAGAACATTTTATAGGTTTCAGAGATGAAATGCTTCCTAGAGCCTATTTCCCATTCCCGTAGTGAATGGACCTACAGTCCCATGTAATGTTTAGAGGATTATTTAAAAATATTATATCAGCACATCCGGAAATTGAGTATTGGCGATATTTAAACCAGCTACAGACAATTTATATAACTGGGGTAAGTGTGATCAGTAAGACAACCAAATATTCTATACATTTTCAAGTTTTCTTGTCCCACTGAAAATTTTAAGATATTTACCAGAAATTCAGTGGCAAGATTGTACAATTCTGGAAAGATGACATAGTTATCCTTAAAGAAGCAGAGACAGACAAAATTTGTTGCATATAATGATTATATTGGCACTAGTTTCTCAAATTTATATTGGAAACCAATTTTCCAAATAATTCTGAAATTATTAAAAGAAAAAAAGAATCCAAGTACACTTTGAACTAAAATAACCAGCACAGTCTCAAAAAAACAAACACACACAAAAAAACCCAAACTACAAATCTTTTTTGCATCTTATTTATAAACTTTTGTCTTTACTTTTGATTATAGCAGTATCTTACTTTGTTGACACAAAAGACAAGATCTATTTCACCTCTTTCCATTTAGGTATCTTACTTTCAATATCATACTATGCTAGAAAAGAAAAGCACACCTGTAATCCTAGCACTCTGGGAGGCTGAGACGGGAGGATCACTTCAGTTCAGGAGTTCAAGACCAGCCTCAGCGAGATCCTGTCTCTATAAAAAATAGAAAAATTAGCTGGGTGTGGTGGCGCAGGCCTGTAGTCCCAGTTACCCGAGAGGCTGAGGCAGGAAGATCACCTGAGCCCAGGAGTTTTAGGTTGCAGTGAGCTATAATGACACTACTGCACTCTAGCTGGGGCAAAAGAGTGAGACTCTGTCTCAAAAAAAAAATGAAAGAAGAAAGAAAAGCAACGCATACCAAATTCTTTTTTTTTTTTTTTGAGACAGAGTCTCACTCTGTTGCCCGGGCTAGAGTGCCGTAGCGTCAGCCCAGCTCACAGCAACCTCAAACTCCTGGGCCCAAGCAATCCTACTGCCTCAGCCTCCCGAGTAGCTGGGACTATAGACATGCGCCACCATGCCTGCCTAATTTTTTTTCTATATAGACTTTTAGTTGTCCAAATAATTTCTTTCTTTTCTTTCTTTTTTTAGTAGAGACGGGGTCTCACTCTTGCTCAGGCTGGTCTCGAACTCCTGACCTTGAGCGATCCACCTGCCTCGGCCTCCCAGAGTGCTAGGATTACAGGTGTGAGCCACCACGTCCGGCCCATACCAAATTCTTACCGGACTCATACACCATAATTTCCTGCAAATTTTCCTCTTTTCCATATTCCATATATTACACGTTATTTATACTATCTTAAAAGTAACACAAACTGTGGCAGAACAGTAGATTCTATCCCACATGCTCTTCTTACAATGTGATGTTGATACTACTCCCTTCAAGTAGTGAGGTCTATGTCCATCCTCTCTTTGGAATCAGGGTGGATCCTCATAACTATTAATACCTCAACCAATAGAATAGAGCACAATAATACTATGTGACTTCCAAAGCTAAGTCAAATATTGCTATGCACCTTCACTTTCTTTCTTCTCTTGGGATGCTCTCTCTTGGAACTCAGCCACCACGCTGGGAGGAAGCCAAGCAGCCACAGGAGAAGTCACGTGAAGGTGTTCTGGCCAACAGCCCAGGTTGAAGTTCTAACCAACATTAACCACCAAACACGTGAGCCACTGAGTCACCCTCACCCTTCTAGCCACCCCACCTCATGCCACATGTTAACAGACAAGCATCCCAACCAAGTAAGCCTTGCTCAAATTGTAGATACATGAGCAAAATGACTGTTATGTTTTAAGCCTCTAAGTTTGATGTAGTTTGTTACCCAACAATAGATAACTGTAACACAAGCTCATACATACGGTTTGGACAAGAAAAAGAAAAAAAATTAATTACTCTAAATTTGACCACTGTTAACACATTGATACATATTTTACAATTAAGAAAATGTTTTGCCCCACCCACCTAAAGATTCCAAATGTTTTTTACCAGGATAAAGGGTTATATTTTCAAAAGCAATCAACTGTTTGCATCTAACTAGAAACAGGAAGAAACACTGTTAACAGCATTCAATCCACTTTTCTTAGCCTCAAGTATCTCTTTCACTTACCTGTCCTAAGTGAGGTGTCTGAGGACTGCTGGCCCACCAATATTGCAATCTATGGATATGAATCAAGATCTTGGGTTGCAACAGCAGCAGGCACTCTTCCCTGGAAGAAGCTGCTTAAGCTCCAAATCTGAAATTTTGAAGGAAAGAAAATCCTAAATACAGACAACTCCTTTCAATCGCTTATTAATTCCACCTTTGTAGTTGAGTGAGGACTAAAGTTGATTAAGATATATGGAAGTGACCGGGAGTGGTGGCTCATGCCTCTAGTCCCAGCTACTCAGGAGGGTGAGGCAGGAGGATTGCTTGAGCTCAGGAGTTTGAGGTTGCTGTGAGCTAGGCTGACGCCATGGCATTCTAGCCTGGGCAACGGAGAAAAAAAAAAAAAGGTACATGGAAGTGAAGGCACAGGTTTCTCTAAAATAGAGCTGGACAATGTAGATTCAGGTTCCAGCTCTACTTTCTTAACAGCTGTATGATCTTAGTTAAATCATAAATTCTCTGTGCCTAAGTCTGATCATGTGATATTGAGGGAACAGAATCAAAATTTGGGGCTTAGAGTCAAAAGACCTGTGTTCTAACCTCTAGGTTATCATTCTGCCTTGCTGCAATAACTTTGTTATCTCTGGGCTCAATTTTGTCATCTCTGAAAGGAGAGGGTTGAATGAAATAGTGGCTCCTGAAATATTATTATAAACCTTAAACAAGTGCCAGCCATGATCAAAAAAATGTAAAGTTACCAATTGTGCTTATTACTATGAGATGTCCTTCCTACTCTTTTGATGCTAAAACGGTTTCTTTTATGAGATGATGTGATAGCAGCAGTTTTTAAAATATGCTAGAGAGTCAAAACAAAAAGCTGTAACCCTATGTAAGCAATCTAAAATTCTTTTTAGAAATTCTAGTATCTGTATGATTCACATGAGTTCTAAAATACATACTCACTACTTAATTTTTATTAGGTCCCTAATATGTGACAGGTACTCCAAACATAAATTAGTCCCTGCTCTAATAAAGCTCCCAATCTAATAGGGAAACAGACACATAAGCCTCAAAGACAATATAATAGGTTAAGTCTTCTAATACAGGTTACAAATCCTATGATATATGAGAAAAGAATGGCACAATGAATAAGTTTTTAAATTTTAGTAGGCTTTTGGAGTGACTTCTGTAGTTGTAGAAGGAGTTACTTAACCTCTTTAAACCACGATTTCCTTATTTGCAAAACAGTAATGATTATAGGTACCATAGAGTTGTGGTAAATAAGTAAGATGCTAAAAATAAGAGGCCAATCCACCAAAACGTTTGGCTCATACATCTTCTAGAAGACAAAATCTTATTTTAATAATGATCTACTGCAAAAGGGCTTATTTACAAAACCGTAATTATTTATTTATTTAACACACTGTAAAACTCAGTGGTACTTTTCTCCACTATCTTCTAAGCAGGTGAATGTCATAACCAAGTTTGCTCCAGTTTATATTCCTAGCTCCTATGACAACACCTAATAGCAGGTATTAATAGTTTATTAAAGAAAATAATTGGGCTGGGTGCAGTGGCTCATGCCTATAAATCTAGCACTCTGGGAAGGCAGGAGGATTGCTTGAGCTCAGGAGTTTGAGGCCAGCCTGAGCAAGAGCAGATTCCATCTCTACTAAAAACAGAAAAATTAGATGGGCGTGGTGGTGTATACCTGTAGTCCCATCTACTCTGGACACTGAGGGGAGGCTGAGGCAAGAGGATGGCTTGAATCCAGAAGTTTGAGGTTGCAGTGAGCTATGATGATGCCACTGCACTCTACCCGGGGCAACAGAGCGAGACTGTCTCAACAAAAAAAAAAGAAAAAGAAAAAGAAAAAATAATTGATTGAATAGATTAATGAATGGTTCTCTATTTTTACAAGAATTAAAGTAGCTGAAAGTAAAAATTCTTAGGATTTTTATTCAAAACTCATTTCAAGTGTGTATTTTAAGTACCCACATCTATCATATTGAAATCTGAATATGTATGTCTGTTTCAAAAAGCAAAATAAGGAGGGAGGGAAGGGGGCAGGGGAAAAAAAGCAAGATAAATTCACCATAGACAATGCAACAGTGGTGTTCCTGAGTAAGACAAACAGCACCTTATACTAAATACTTATTATTTGCCAAAAGCTCTCCTAAGCATCTTCTATGGATTATCCCATCTAATCACGACAACTTCTATAAAATTGACTATAAATATTGTCATTTAATAACTAGGAAAATTGAGGCACAGATAAGTCAAGTAACTTCCAAAATCACAAAATTACTAAATGGTGGGGCTGGAATAAAATAATAATAATAAAATAAATCAGGCTGCCTGACTCCAGAGCTTGCTTTTTTATTTTTTAACTAAATAACTTTGTTTTTAAATGTCAGATTTTACCAGAACTGGTAGTATTTGCTCCTAATGATTCTTAAAAAAAAAAAAAAAAAAAAAAAAAGAACAAAGAGGTCTTTATTATATGTGCTGAACACAAATATATGATACAGTTCCTGTCCTAAAACCAATGTGGTGTTATAATATTAAGTAGTCACATCTGAATTTTACTGTTTTAAATTTAAATATCTCAAAGTTAGGCTTATCTGTAATTTCTTTTTCATTTACTCTTAATTCCAGGTATTGCTACAGCAAAGGCTTATACAGTCTAAGAGGAAAAATTAGTTAAAAACTAGGAGGCATCAGAAACTTGTTTTGAGCCAGGCATGGTGGTTCATTCCCATAATCCCAGCTACTTAAGAGGCTGATACAGGAGGACTGCTTGAGCCCAGGAATTCGAGACTGCAGGGTGCTATGATCACACCACTGTACTCCAGCCTGGGCAACAGAGTAAGACCCTGGCTCAAAACAAAAACAAAAAAAATGAAAAAAACCCACACAGAATAAGAACAGCTGTATTTCATTTTTTCTGGATGCTCTAACAAAACAATTACAGATGTCATTTGCAAAATGTATTTTTAGCCAACAATGTGTTTCACTTCATTTCTTCATTGGCCTGATTCTTGAGCAGACTAATGCTTCTGATGTTTAACTTTCAGTTTTAACAATTGTGTTAAAAGAGAACTAAACACCAACAAAACACAGAGTAACAGGTATTGCAAATGCTTTTCAGATATGCAAGAAACCACATTGTCACACTAGCAAAAACAACTGACAAGCATTTGACCAAATGAACACTGAAGGAGCCAATGTAATTAAAGCAGCATTTAGATTTCTTCCATGATTACACTTTACATTCTTCCATGATTGCATTTCACATCTCTGCCTCCCTAACAGCACAATAAACTAAGTCTCCTTATTGTCTTGTAACTAGTATATTTTCAAGGAAACCAATACTCCAATGACATTAGTTAAGGAGCCATAACAAATTATGGATGTTAGTAATCACACACTGTTTTGGGGTTAGAGAAGAATAGGTGTTATATTAAACAGGAAATATGAAAATGGATTATTTCTAAAATATTAATAGTACCATAAAGGGAAAAAAAATCTAAATTTCTAAAAACATACTTGGAAACACTGGCACTGTGAATTCACAGAACCCAACTAAATAAAAGACTGTAGATTCAAAGATTTTGTTTGCCAAATTTTCCTCTATGGATAAATGTTCAATATCCACTGTGATGTTTTACACCACTCCCAAGATTAAGAGTCTTTTGCTAATTCTATGAAGATAAATGAACACCCAGATTGCTTACACTCTAGGTAACTGCCACTTGGGGAACAGATCAGAGAAAAGCAATTAAAGCACAACATTTAAGCTTTACTTAGACCTGGAAAACAAGGAACTGTGACATACTCTCCACATAGAATGTGCCTATGGAAAAAAATTACACTATCTAGTTGGTGAGGGGCAGGGGGGACTGCAGCACATATTCTTTCTTTTTTACTAGAATCACTGTACCAGTCAGACTAAGCATAAAGGGCAGGGTAGAGGTAACCTTCCCAATTATAAATTAAGTCATACTGGTCAACACTTAATTCTTATAAATTCTGTTTATCTGACTAGATATTTACTTTTTTCATACCTAAAGATCTTCGTCTCTTTCACCTCCAAGATCTAGCTTGCCAGCTCCAGTATCTTTTCAAAGATTTTAAATCCATTCACTAGCCAACCTCAATTCTGGTTGCTAGTAAAAAAAATAGGTATTAGCCGGGCGTGGTGGCCCAGGCCTGTAATCCTAGCACTGTGGGAGGCTGAGGCGGGAGGATGACTTGAGATCAGGAGTTCGAGACCAGCTTGAGCAAGAGCGAGACACCCGCCCCCATCTCTATTAAAAATAGAAAGAAATTAGCCGGGCAACTAAAAATATAAAAAATTAGCCATGCATGGTGGCACATGCCTGTAGTCCCAGCTACTTGGGAGGCTGAGGCAGGAGGACTGCTTGCGCCCAAGAGTTTGAGGTTGCTATGAGCTAAGCTGATGCCACGACACTCTAGCTCAAACAACAAAGCAAGACTCTGTCTCAAAAAAAAAAAAAAAGAAAAAGTGTTGATCACCTCCTTAATATCCCCTTCGTATATAATAATTTCACTTCACCAAGGCCAAGCCAGTGCTTCATGGCTCCAAACAACTCTTGTCAAAATAAGAGCAGGATATGCTTCTTTTCTCTTAATTATATACTAATTCCTTGCTACTCAAAGTGTGGTTCACAGACCACTAGCATTGCATCACCTGTAAGCTTATTAGAAATGCGGAATCTTGGTCTTTCCCTTACAGCAGTCCCCAAACTTTTTGGTACCAGGGACTGGTTTCATGGAAGACAATTTGTCTACGGCTGGAGGTGGGGGTAAGGCAGAGCTCAGACGGTGATGCCAGCTATGGGAAGGGGAGGGGAGCAGCTGTAAACACAGATAAAGCTTCTCCTGTCACTCACCTCCTGCTGTGTACCGCCCTCCCCCACCCCAAGTTTCATGGAAGACAATTTTTTCATGGGGGGCGGTGGGGAGGTACTGCCGGCAGAGTTCTGTGGCCCAGTCCCTTAACAGGCCACAGACCGGTAAAGGGTTGGGGACTGTAGCTACCCTAGACCTGCTGAATCAGAATCAGGATTTTAACAAAATCCTCAGATGATTCATACACATAGAAAATTTTGAGAGGCACTATGC